CTTTCTGCAGATACAGCGGAAGAAGGAGCACTTGCTTCTAGACCACAGTTGGCTGTGGGTAACGGGAACGTCGGAAAGTGAGCCCACAGTTAAAGGCGGAACCGTTGCGCTATGCAGCTGTTTGGCTGTCTAATAGTGGGGATTGTTCTAGAGGGACAAGAACAACCTTGGAAAGCTCTTACTTCCTCAGCCTCTGCTGCCACTTCTTTTTTTTTTTTTAGATTTTATTTATTTGATAGGGAGAAACACAGCGAGAGAGGAAACACAGTAGGTGGAGTGGGAGAGGGAGAAGCAGGCTTCCCGCTGAGCAGGGAGCCCAATGTGGGGCTCGATCCCAGGACCCTGGGATCATGACCTGAGCCGGAGGCAGAAACTTAACTGACTCTGCCACCCAGGCGCCCCCTCTGCTGCCACGTCTGGAGGCCAGTATGTCAAAAGAGTAGAGCGTACTGGTTCAGGGTGAGAGTGAAGGTCTTGGAGTCAAAGACCTGAGTGCAAATTCTAGTTCTGTCACTATGATATTAGGCAAAATACATGACCTGAGTCTTAGTTTACTGATCTGCAAACATGTGCTATGGTAGTACCTCTCCTTTCTTGTGAAAGCTAAATGAGATTCTACAAAGGAGATGCCGAGCTTAGTGTGTGGTATGTTTCTGTGCCCAGTAAATGGAGACCATTATTTCTGTTATTACAGTAAGCAGTTCTGACCCTATCTGCTTTCCAAATCCTCCCCCGGCCCTATTATAAGCTCCCACTCCTGGAAGCCCACTCCTCCCATTTTGTTTCCCCACAGGTGCATTAGCTTGTGTAGCTTGAGATCTCTATCCAGGGGCCCCCTAAACAATGCAGGGGTTAGGCGGCAAGCCCTGCCTCGTGCAGCCAAAAATCTGTACATAATTTTGAACTGCCCCCGAACTTAACAGCATACTGTTGACCAGAAGCCTTACTAATAACATCCACAGTCAACACAAATTCTGTATATTATATGTATCATATACTTTATTCTTACAATAAAGTAAGCCAGAGAACAGAAAATGTTATTAGGAAAATCTTAAGAGAGGGGCCCCTGGGTAGCTCAGCTGGCTCAGCATCCCACTCTTGGTTTTGGTTCAGGTCACGATCTCAGGGTCGTGCGATCAAGCCCCTTTGGGCTCTGGGCTCAGCGGGGAGTCTGCTTGGAATCTTGTCTTTCTGTCCCTCCCCAAACTTGTGCGCATGCACACTCTCTCTAAATCTTTACAAAAAAAGAAGAAAGAAAAAAGAAAGAAAATCTTAAGAGAAAATACATTTACAGTACCATATTTATAAAAAAAATCCACGTATAAACGGACCTGTGCCGTTCAAAGTCATGTTGTTCAAGTGTCAACTGTACATCAACATTTCTTAAGAAGAAAAGTTTTTTCTTTATAATACCAAATTTCTGTGTATCTTCTCTTCAAAATATTTTACTCCTATCACCTCCTACAATTTGAAAAGATACTATTCCCACCTCCAGTTTGGGCTTTTAGTTTTTAGGATGTGTAGTTCTGTATTCCAGAAGGTTGAAGAACAGTTGTAGAGACAGAACTATGGGTGAGTAAGTCTGTTTTGCTGAAGGAAAATGAAAGAGGCTTAACAATGGTTCTCACCTCAAAAGAATCCATCCAAAATCTACTTAAAGAAAAAAAAAAGAAAAAAATTCTATCCAGACTGAAAGCACTGACTATAGAAGTTCATTATCTGTTGGAGGAGACAGATTCCAAGAATTGCTGGGTTTTGCTAAAATTGCTGGGGACATTTCACTGGTCCCTGTTTTCTCACCACAATACTCACAAGGAGATTACTAAGTAAACTTCATTGTAAGATCCTAATAAAACCATTCTTTAAATATTTAAAATTTTTTAACCTCTCCAAGAAAGAAACAAAATTATGGCAGATGTTTTGATTATTTATGGGATTCTGTAAAATCTATGAAATGCAAAATCTGAGATTTAACTGAATATAGACACAGATGCGTCTATTCAGACACTAAGGAGATTTTAACCTTATCTAGCCAATCATCCTCAAAACAGCAGACCTTTTTATGTAACCCATCTCTGCCGTTAGTGCATGAGAAACGTGTACTGCCTCCTTCGTTCAAGTGACCCCTAACAAGGCACTCAGTTCCCATGGCCTGCAAAGGCACATGTGACAGTCAAAAGACCAGACATGACTTCTGGGACCGCGATAAAATGTGAAAAACAGCTCAGGGACTGTAGCTTCATTCTAGCATATACGTGAAATAAAATTTAAAATTTCCCCCAAATCAGCTACAATCAGCAAAACTGCTCACAGAACTTTCCTCTAGTTGTCCTCACTCTTCCTCTTTCTAAAACTGAGGTTCAATGGTTTTCGCCCTATCAGAATACAGAAATTTACCATGCAGTCTGATTCAAAGTGAATCATTTATCACTTACCAGCAGTATATACCTGATTTTTAAAATACAACAATGCAAAAACATCTTGCCAAGTGCCTGTGTTTTTAAAAATGAGATTATAAAACCCTACTAATTTAATTCAACAGGTCTAGGTGTAAAATATTCAAGGAATAATGTTAAATAAACCAAGAAATAACTGAGAGGGAAAAAGTTGAGTGAAAACACTGGTGAAGTATTACTATACATAAGTATACACACACCCATAAATACATGTATATAAACAAATTCATCAAAGAGGAGTCAAAGAAGTTTTGTTTTGTTTTGTTTTTAATTACAAAGAAACAAAAGAAGACACCTAAGCCTTCACATAAACCTGAAGACCAACTGACCCTGACCCAGCCGATCTGGATGCCGCTGGCCGCTGCTCGAAGCTGTTGCTGAATCTGGCAGCCTAAGCAGCCCTTCCCGCCAGCCCCTGCTGTAGGAAATGCCGAAGCAGGAGGAAGGGCTTCTGGCCAGTAGAGAACCCATGTGATGATCATGTGGTGTGAATTTAAAAAGCCAGTTTACAGACTCTTGGAATGCACGACCCACTTAATTTTGGCAAAATGTAGTTTTCTGGCTCAAAAGAAAAAAACGTGTAAGAACGCATCTGGGCATCTCCAAGTAAATGATTCTGACAGACATGGAGAGGCAGAACAGAAACTTTTGAGAGTAACAGAGACACTGTCCCTTAAGTCTTGGGTCTCCTAAACCTTAAACGGGAGACAAATCATTTAATGACAATATTCAAATCACTGAACAGCAAGTAAGTTCAGGTCCAAGTCCAGTGAAAAAAATTTTTATTTTCTTAAATTTTGAATATGTAGGGAATATAAAAAATACAATATAAATAGGGTTTAAAAAAATCAACATAATATGGCCCTAGTTTCTGAATGTCTTACCAAAACTATCACACATGAGCACATTTGTTTGGGTTTTAACACCAGTCCCAATTAAGTTCCACTTGTATAATACATTAGAGATTTCAAATCTGTATCTCCAGCCTGAACTTCAGATCTGAACCTTTAAAAAGCTCTTTCTCCACTTTGATGTCCCATGGACACCTCGAAATCAGCCTTTCAAGAAAGAATTATGATTGGCATCCCTGCCATCACACACACACACACACACACACACACACACACACACACACACACCCTCCATCTCTTCCTATGTGCTCCTGACTCTCCACCCTGTCGTTCAACTCAAAGACCTGGACATCATTCTGGACTCATCCTTCACACATCTGACCCCTTCAGGTCCAATCAGTCACAATCTGCCTCCTGAACACCTCTGAAATTCATCCCCTTCTTTCCATTTCTACTGCCACTTTCCTAGTTCAAGCTGCTCCAGGTTTAGTAGCTGAGAGTTTGGGCTTCCGGTTCCAGCTGACTTGCTCTGCCATATAGTAATGGGGTGGACTTGGACAAGTCACTTGTCATTGGAATCCTTAAGTCTCCTAACCCATAAAATGTGGATGGTGTCAACAATGCCCACCTCACATTCTGGGAAATTTAAATGAAAAAATCCATGTAAAAGTCCTGAAATCATGTCCAGAAGCTATGCAATATTCAGTTAATCTCGACTGTCACAATCCTCCTCCCTTTGGGTGCTGAGCACAATTTCTCTGGGTTAGGCAACCTCTTCTCTTAGTGGTACTAACATTCCTAGATAAATGTTTTCTCTGTCTCCCCACCCAAACATAAGCACTCTAATGGAAAGGACTGAGTCTTCGTCCCATAGATGATATGAATAAATGACTAATAAAACAATGATAACAATAAATGATCACATATGAATATTAAGAGTTATATGAGAAATGACACACATAATTATTAGTATATATTATATACTGAATGTGGTATTTCCTTAGAGATCATCAATGAGAGAAAGAAACATTGACACACACAGATTTAAGTCAGCAAGGAATCAATAATCAAAAGCACCAGCCGCCATAAATTTTAATGTGCAACATAATGAATTTTAAGTAACTTATAAGTCTTCCCTTAGAATGTTAACAACATACACAGGCACTTCTCGATCAAAAAAAATTCACTTTTGCTACTCAGCAATTTATTTTCCATTGTTTTGCAAGTCAGAGATATTTGTTCCTCAAAACAAAGAAGCCACCCAATAGTTTCAGAAGTGTGACTCAAGCCCTCTCAGAGGAAGCATGTGGAAAACCCTCTCTACCCTCCCACACTGACATCTAAGATTCCCATTTACAAGAAAGACAAAGAGCATGTCTCAGGATACTGACCCCTGCTCATTCACAAATGTTCCCTTCTGGGGCCGAATTTTTTAAGAATTAAAACCAGTGACATGGTCCTTCTCTACTGGTTTTACTAGCTACAGGAAAATGACCCATTTTCTTTAGCAGAGAAAACAGACTGTCCTCAGTTTTTTAAGGTGAACGGAAGTGAGGGAATCGATTCTGGTTTTACTTACAAATTTTCAGTGGCATTGTTCTGACCCAAAATCCTCTGTCCCTTGAGACAAGTTCAAGGTGAGGGCAGGGGGCACCTACTCCCCTCCTCCCCGGGAGAGGGCAGGGCCGGCTACCTGGGCTCCATAGACGCGCTGCATCGCCTGGAGAAGCTGGTTGGTGTAATCTGTGAGGGTGCCAGCATCTTCTTCAAACACACTCAATAAAGAGCGAGTCTACAAGGAAAGAAGAGAAGTCCATTTATTCCTAAGTGGAAAAGTTACAGAGGAGGTAGAAACACACACACGCGCGCACACACCCCTCTCTAAAATGGGGAAGGGAGATGCTTATTCTCTGGCTTTATTCTTTTACTGATAATACTAGGGAGGGTTGATTTCTGAAGCTTTAATTTAAAACTACTTTCCTCATCCTTCAGACTACAACTTAGGGGCAAACTGAATACAATTCGAATGTTGGGGCCAGAGAAGGAAAGCCAATTTCTAAAGAGTAAGACTTGAGGGCTATTATCTGTTTCGATTTAGCCCCTACCTAAGCACCAGGAGAGTCCATCCAATTGGAAAAAAAAAAAAGTTAAAAAGGCAGCCTCTCCTTCTGGCCCATAAACTGAACACGGTGCCAGATCTGTGTGTTTACCTGGGGTGTGGACGCCCAGCAGTGTATCACCCCAACAGCTAACTGCTGGTCTGGTTTTCTGCAAACTTGGACATCTTGCAGGAATGCGTCACTCTTTCCTCTTAAGATACTACAGTCAATTTCCACAACTTTCGTCATCTTTTATTCAACTAATTTTAAGCTCGTGGCCAGGAAATTTTGTATACCCTGGGTCCACCAGTAGTGGGTCTGGGCACAAAACTGAAATCGCAACTTAACAAGAATGCTAGCTCCGTCCCTTCAGGAAGGCTATCTACTCAGTTCCCCAGAGTAGCTGAGCAAGGTCATTAGAGGGAAGGTGTTTCCTGTCGCTCTTGTGCACAGAGCTGGACACGTGGAACACTGAAGAAATATTTACATGGGAGATGGTGTCTAAGTAAGTATGAAGGTGTCACATAAGTGACCATATCTACTCAAGGGACTTTACTTAACGTGTTCAGCACAGTGGGAAATTAAAATATTATGTCAGTGATAATGGAGTCTCTAAAAATAACCCATTAGGCATAGAATGGATAGTAAATTATAGAAATGCTTTTAATAAGATAATATCAAAGCACTTTACAGAGAACAATCTATTAAGGCTCATTATCTCCCTGCATATGCATTTCAATTCCTTCTTTTTTTTTCTAACCTCAGGTCAGAGAGCAGGGATGGACTTCATAGTGCCCTCAATCACCTGGGGGTTTGGATCATTCTGTCTCCCCTGGATTTTGTCCCCCAAACTCCAGTGTACTTTGCAGCAGAACACACTTGTCCTGGCTTCGCTGAGGTCTTCAAGGCTAAAAATACCTTCTGTGAGACCAGGGTACTCTCTTCACTATCAATCCTTATCAACAGAGGGACCAGAAGCAATGAATATGGAAAACATAAGACAGGTTTTCAAGAGCTCTCAACCACAGCAAAATATCAGAGCTCATCCAGTATGTCATTCGTGTGCCAGAGCGGAGTTCTTCAAACCTTCTAAAATTAAAAACAATGGTACGAAACACGTTACCAAACAATATTTGTCTTTAGTATGCGTATACATTCCAATTTTTTCCTGTTCTATTCTGTTCCCTTCCACTTGTAAACAAAAATCATGACTGTGACCCACTGGCTCTCATAATGGATGCATGGATGTCAACCAGTAGGTGGAAAACATCAGTTCCGAACTCTTCGTTCTATCTTTTTAAAACAGACTTTTTATTTGGGGGGAGAAAAAAGATTGTAACCATTCACAGATGCACACATCTCTGCCTTCATCCAGTATCTGTCGAAACAACGTGCTGGGAACTGGGATTCAGAGGTGATTAGACCCAACTCTGTTCTCCAGGAGCTTAGAGCCCGCTGTGCCTCTCAAAGCATCTGGGATCCCCATGGGACCATATCAGTCCAAATTGGACTGATGGGTCCAAATTCAGGCTCTAACACTGATGTGCAGGGTTACTAAGATAACAAACACACACAAAGTCCCTCCCAGTGTGTGATGTACAGTGATAGCAGATGAAACTAATTATGAAAATAATGAATTCTGATTCCTTATTATATGCTGGACACTAAGGGCTTTACATGTATGATCTCATTTTTTCTGAGAGCAGAGCTTCCTGAAGATACAGAGAGAGCAGATATGGACGGGGCGTCTCGGAGACTCAGAAAGGAAAGGAGCATGAATCTCTGTATGATTTCACTTTAACACCACAGCAATACTTATCTGTACAGTTATCTATAAATGTTAACTAATAGGCAAGGACCTTTTGTCTCTTTGTATTCATGGTGTCAGTGCTGGAGGAGCTCACGTTTTTATGATTCTGGTATCTTCCTTTGCTATAACTAACATGTCTAGGAAAATGAGAAGGAAAGAATGATACAACTGGATTGAGATTTCATTTTTCTAACTACTACTGATCTCCATTTAGTCGAGTCCTATTAATTGCTTTTAGAACTCTCAGGAATAAAGTAGGATGGAAAATGAGAAGAGGAAAAGAGAAGGCTTACGTAAAGGTCTTCCAAAAAGAGAAAAGAAAATGAACCCTCCCTTTTACTCTGTACCTCCTATGAGACACTGTGCTGAGCACTAAATATTTACTTCATTTAATCCTTCCAACAACTTTATGAGGTAGATACATGGATATTTAATCCTATGTTACAGATAATAAAACTGAGGCTCATCAAGGTCAAGAAAGCTGCTCAAGCTCCCACGGCTGGGAAGCAGTAGGGCTGGGATGTCAATCCCGGTCTGATGGGCACCAACAGCCACGCTTCCTCCCCTGCAAGAGGCTGCACCTGTCACCCAGCTGGCCGAGCTTTATCAGTGGGCATGCGCTGTGGCCCCCAGCCCAAGTCCTGCCTGGAGCCGGCTTCCCTTCGGTCATCCTGTCACGCTCTTGCCTATTAACTGCCAAATCTTTATCACCAGTATTTCATTTGCTCACACTCTGGACATATTTACCGTGACCACCCACCGCCGTGAGCACTGGCAAGAAAAATCCAGTCTTTCTAAGTAGGCCAGGATCACCACTGAAATAAACCTACCCGGCTATCTTAGGCACTGTTTTTGATACCTACGTTATCAGCTCCATATCTGCTTGAATTTATATCTGAAACAACAGGAATGTTCTATATCTGGAATGTAAGGAATGAGACCAAGACCAGCTGAAGGTACACCAGACATCAAAGATTCTACTTAAAAGTCCGAAAGACCCTGCTGCCTATCACTTGTAGGTAACAGCAATCATTTATGGAGTTGTTATGACATGCAGGCATGAAGACACTTTACACACATTATTCCATTCTTCATAAGAATCCCATTAAGTAACTATTTTTATTCTAATTGTACACATGTTGAAACTCAAGCTCAGAGAGGTCAAGTAACTTGCCTAAGGCAACAATGGCAGAATCAGGATTTCAGCTCCATCCTTTTCCTACTACCCTATACTTTTTTTTTTTTTAGATTTATTTATTTATTTATTTATTTGACAGAGAGAGAGATCACAAGTAGATGGAGAGGCAGGCAGAGAGAGAGAGAGAGAGAGGGAAGCAGGCTCCCTGCTGAGCAGAGAGCCCGATGCGGGACTCGATCCCAGGACCCTGAGATCATGACCTGAGCCGAAGGCAGCGGCTTAACCCACTGAGCCACCCAGGCGCCCCCACTACCCTATACTTTTAAGAGTATGCCTAGCCAGAAGAAACAAACACACTAGGGCTACAGCCTCAGCTCCACACCGTCCCTCCATCTTAAAGAAACGGGGTGCTCCCTAATAAAATAGTCCTAGACATTTTTTATTCTCCAGAATAGCATCTGACCATATAATGGCACAATTTTAGTAACTCTGATTATAAAATACACATATTATCCTCCACAAGACCTAACCCCAGGTTGTTCTGAGGCACCTTGTTTGGGTAAAGAAAGTCCGGTTTGGTCAAGGAGGGCTGTTCCCAGTTGGACCACTCACTGCATGATCTCAGAACTAAGTCTTTCATTTCTCTGGGCTTCAGTTATGCCAACTGCAAAGGAAACACACACACACAAAGATCAAGAAAACAGTCAGCAATACCACTTTTGTCTTCATCTTATCTCAAAAGCGGACTACTTACACAAAAGCCACTGAGCCCCTGAAGAAGTCAGCGCGGCAGCTGCTCAATGCTGCGTTTGTGTTCCTACCACAGCCCATTCGCACGGCCCTGGCACTGCTTTCCTTATCTGTCTCTCGGGACAGACTGTGCCCCGTGGAGGACAGGCACTCCTACCTTGTCACAATATTCCCAGCATCTAGCGGCGCCTGGCAAGGAGCGGAGACCCACAAACGGCAACGGAGACCAGTCAGTAGCTTCGTCCTCAAAACATTCTGCCTCTCACATACCAGAAATGTGTAACCAGAAATGATATGTGTACGCACACACCAGTCTTCCACACACCGTGCAGTGCTAGAAAAGGACAAAATGAATAGATGTGTCTAAGGGCGGTCAACCGCTATTCAGCTCTTCTTGGGTCACTGAGTTCAGTTACAAAAGCGTTTGTGTTCACTTACTGAATCATGTGCAGGTTGCTCCAGCAACCCTCATAAGTTCTCTTCAAGAAACCAGAAGAAACAAACAATAGATGGTTTCTTAGGATCTTTTCCTTTCAGTGAAACACTGTAGGTCACCGATGATAGAAATGCCAGGTGTGGGGCGCCTGGGTGGCTCAGTGGGTTAAGGCCTCTGCCTTCAGCTCAGGTCATGACCCTGGGTTCTGGGATTGAGCCCCGCATCGGGCTCTCTGGTCAGCGGGGAGTCTGCTTCCCCCTCTCTCTCCGCCTGCCTCTCTGCCTACCTGTGGTCTCTCTCTGTCAAATAAATATTTAAAAAAAAAAAAGAAAGAAAGAAATGCCAGGTGCTAGGTAGTACCTGAACAACACAGGCTAGCCTGCTGGGTTCCTATCCTGGCTCTGCCATTGCCATTGGGCAAGTTATTTAACTTCTCTGCTCCTTGGTAATTTTCATAGGAGACCTACTTCAGAAGACTGTTGGAAACATAAAGTGAATTATTATAGGTAAAGGATTTAGAATAATGTCTGGTGCAGAAAATGTACATGTGATATAGGTGATTGCTATTGTTTTTATTCTCTACACATGAAAGGAATCAGATTTGCTTTCCTCCAGTTCCAAATCTATGGGTTTCTTCAAGAATAAGGTCGCTTTAGGGACACACCCCATATAAGACTGCTAAATAAATATATTCTGATGATTATCAAAGACCTTGAAAGTTAGCTTCCACTGCACCAACCTCATGAAGAATCCCGGTCGGGTGACACCTAAGTCCCCAGAGCAGTAACCATTCCCTACATTAAGAGGAACATTACATGGGAATGCCAGTGCCACCAGACCTCCTCTTCCACATACAAGCTCAAAGTTATAAACCATGCAATATAATTTTAAGCTTCTAAAGCCCCTTAAAGATCAACTGCTCCACATGCCTCATTCTGCCGATGAGAAAATTGAGCCAGCCACAGGGTGCGGATAAGTAAGTGACTTGCCCCAGTCACATGATAAGTCAGTGGCAGAGCAAGAATTAGGATCCAGTTTTCCCAGCTTGTTTGCCAGTCCTCCCTCCCAGCTTCCTCCCAGCTGAGCAAACCCTGTAAACCACTCAGAAATGGTGCATATTCACTCATGTGACAGTCAGAAATGCAGAATGTGACTTCTCAGTGAGGGAAACATAGGACAATCAGTTAGTGCAACCTCTCTGACCCGGCTCAGCCATCACCATGATCAGTTAGGAAAGCAATATAGCTTTGCACTTCCGGACAAGAAAGCAAACGGAAATCCCTGTTCCAAACGGTATCCTTAGAAATTCTAGATTATTATCTTCATATCTCACATTATGTGTGAGGACAGACAAAATGACTTCTCCAATGGGCTTCAGTACCATTAAAATGCCACAGGTCTAGAGCTTTCAAAGGGGTCTTTGAAAAGTCCATCAGAGCAGCAGATGCCAATTTAAAAAAAAAAAAAAAAGTCACAGCTTGCTCAAGTTTCTTACTTGTCTACCTAAGGAAGAGCACAAAGAAATGGACACAAGGCAACTAAGCACACTGCCATTTGACTGCTGATTCTGAACTGGCAAGATGCAGAGTCCATCAAGAGATCATCCCCCAGAATGTAATGTTCTAAGAAGAAAAAGGATAGGAAAAAAAAAAGAGAAGGAAAACAGGTTAATCTTACTCGAATTTTTGAGGAGTTGAGACACCCGGGGGGGGATAAAAAGACTGATTCAAATAAACTCAGGAAGATGCAGAACCCGGAGAGTAGATACGAAGCCCGGGCAACGCTAATGCGGAGCAAAAAAGTTCCTTGAAGAAAAGGACACTGAATTATGAGCTCCTGTCACTCTGCACTCATCTGTTCTATTTACACAGCAGCTTTCATCTGCAGAGCTCCAAGGACTTAACTTTCATCTCGAGCGTGCTAATGAAGTCCCTCCGTGCGACAAATGGGGCAGGTGTTGTAATTTTCGCTTGACAAAATGGGAAAACCGTGCCGAAGGGTACCGCTGGGAAAGAGAGCTGGGCTCTCCGCCTCCCATCTTGGCCCTAAACCCGCCAGGACCCATCGCATCAGCAGCAGCAGCAGCAGTAGTAATAACTAAGATAGACTACTTCTTCTGTACCAGACGTTGCCGCTAACAACTTTACAGGCGTTCCCTTATTTAATTCTGACAACTCTGTGAGGCGGGGACAATTATTATCCCTGTGTTCCCAGATGACAAAACTGCAGCACAGAAAGGCTATTTGTCCGAGGAACTCAGCGAAGCTGTGGAGCCCGACTTTAGGCCGGGCAGCGTCAGTTTCAGCTGACTCTGGAAAAGGGGTCAGGACACAAAGACTCTGGCCGCGGGGGGCTTTCTCGGGTTCTCCAGCCCCGCCTGAGGGGTGCCCCTTCCCCGGCCCCTACGGGCACCCGCCTCCACCCCGGAGCTCGAGGGGCCACCCCGGCCTCCAGACCCCCGGGCGGGGGGACCGAAGCGGCGGGGGGACCGAAGCGGCGGGAGGTACCTGGGGGCTGTCCTGCAACGCCTCCTCCAGCAGGAGCTTGTCCACCGCGGGCATAGTGGCGCGGGGCCGGGCAGAAGGACGGAGGGCGGGAGGCGCGGCCGCCGAGGGTGCTACGGGCTGAAGCGACGAGGCGAATGCTCTATGCCCGCCGCAGCCCCAGCGCGCCCACGTCTGGCCAGTGACCGCCTCCCCCGCAGCCTCCCGCCCGCCGGCCCTCCTCCCAGCCCAGCCCTCTGCGGAACCGGATCAACAGGAAGTGTGGCGAGCTCGAGCAGCCCGGCCACCGGAAGTGTGGCGGCCCCGCTTCCGCCGCGTCTCGCCTCGTCTAGGCACCGGGATACCCACAGCCCGTCTAAGCGGTCCCGCGGCTCCGTGCGTGCGGGGTGCTGGGGGGGTTCGAGGTCTGCGGTTAGGCAGCTGGGTACTCAATGCTGGTCGAGGCCCCAAACGGGGAACGATAAGGTTTTATCTATTTGGCGCCTACCCAGAAGACTTTAGAATCGAAGGGGATGGGAGCGAACAGATTTTGCCCCTGGGTCCCGCGCCACTGCTTTAACGGAGGGAAGAGCCTACACTACACTTGACATACCACTCGTTCCAGATAAATCCCAGTGCCCCAGTGACAGCTCTGAGCGCAGAGGTCACCGACTTAAAGAAACAATCATCTGTGTTACTTAGAGGTAGCCATTGTGGAAATCAGAGCTATAGGATGGCAGGCTTCCTGGGCACTTGGAAACTCTAAGGCCAGCATTATTCCCAGTTGGCTGTAGCCAGCACCAACCTTTCCTGAACCATTGTATGACCTCCATGGGGAAATCATTCGGCATCCTTTTTCCCTGCCATATTCTTCTTGGGTAGAATCATGCCTACACAATGTTTCTTCCTTTTCCTGTGTTTCCTATCACCTCTTTCGTGAGTACTGTTCAGTTAATTTCACTTCATAAACTCCCCCAACTCTCCTCACTGAAATCCTCCTCCAAAGGTCAGACTTAAGCTCTTCCTTCCCCTCTCTGGCCCCAGAGATCACCACCCACTGTGAACAGCTAGATCCTTGATTAATACCCAAGGTGGCTTACCAGGTAGTGCTTTTTCCTTCTCTGTGTAGATCTAACTCCCTGTGTAAATAGTAAGCCTCTCAAGAGCATAGCACATCATCTTTCTTTTATCTCAATACTGAGATGTAGTAACAAATACTTGTTTGCTGTTTATGACACTCTTACAACCCTTTTCCAATTAAGAGAAGTTCCCCCCCCCATCCTTCTAGCCAGTGGGAAACAAACAGTTATTTATTGCCTGCCAAACAATAAAGATCATGGTGGTGATAAGAATAGTGTAAGATTGTACCAAGGGGAAAAAGTGCATACATTTTAAAATGAAAATAGATGTTAAAAAAGACACAGTGCCCTCCACGATCCTTGAAAGAGCTCAGAAATCTCCTTGGAAATCAACACAACATTTTTCATGTGCCACCTTATCTCCTAATTAAAGTTACTTTTCCTCAAACACCTGTATTCAAAATTAAGTGTTCTTACACAATGCCATTACTTTTCTACATTCTATTGCTACATGGGTAAACAGCCTAGTGGGATTTCTTGGCACTGAAGTATCATTTATAACATTGTTTCTTTGGGAGAATGCATCCCAAATCCAAAACAACTGAGTTACAAAACCAACTCTGGGAATACAACACATTTGCAAATTGTTAATTTATGTCCTTCATTAGTTCATGTAATCATTTAATTAAATATAGACTGCTCAGTATTAAGCACTCTGCCTCCCACATATTTTACTGTCTTTACTATGCCTCTCATTTAAATTCTGAAGCCAAATATCCTCCTCTTCAACAGATAATCTGTGAAAAACTATGTAAGAGGAATTTTTATGCAAACATGAGAAGAATTTTAAATGTTTGATGTAAAATTGTCTGTCCCTATTAAACTACTGTGAAGGTGAATTTCAAACATCTTCCCACTGTGTCTGAAATCCCTGGAGAGCTGTGAGGTTGGTGACATGACATACAAAGATGGACAATTTAGAGTTTCCACGTCCTCTGGGGAGAGCAAGAATGAACCCTACAGAGCTGAAACCTTTTACCCATTGAAGATGAATGGGGAAAAAGACACTGGTTGTTTCCATTGACACCTATCTATGTCTCCTGTATTAAGCAGGGCTTTTTTCATTGGAAAGACAGAAATCGAACTCCAATTAGCTGAAAGAAAACATAAAACTCTGGGAGAGACTGAGAAGTAAAGAGACTATATTGCTTTGGTTATTTGTATGCTGAGGAGAATGCCCCGGAAGAGTGGGGGAAACTGAAGATATGAAAAGTGTTATGACAATTGCAGGAGCATGGTCCTCGAGTAGAAAAAAAGGAGTGAGATCCAAATCACATGTGATGGGGATAGAAACAGGGATAGTGTGTTCAGACTGATATGTGCGACAGTAGGTTGGTAGATTAAATGGGGAGGGTGAAGGAACTCTTTTTTGCTTTTATTTGCTTTTATTTTCTCAGTAGAATAAGAAGCAAGGGTATGATAAAGTCATCTTGGGGCATGAAAAGATGAGACATAAGTATCAATACCCCCATTTTACAGATACTACAACTGAGGCTCAAACAAATGGCATGACAGAGCTGAGGTTCTAAAGGCCAGGATTCTGCCCACTATACCCCAAAAAGAAGGAAGCCTTCTTGGTGGGAAGCCTAAGGCTAGTTGGCCCCAGGATCCCTCTCCCCTTCCCTCCCAGGTGCCCACACAGTGTCCTGACATACAGCAAATCCTTTTCAAATGGTTGTTGAATGAATGACTATTCCTGTTTTCTCCACCAAGAATCCCATGACCTCAGGATTTCATTTGCTTTACCTTCCAACAACCAGTCTGTGGAAGCTAGGAGAGGAATCTGAGGAACCCCAAGGATGTTTGGAGTCCTTTAGGTCTTAGGGACTACCGTGGAAAACAATAAAAAAGGTGGGGGGAGAGGGGCACCTGGGTGGCTCATTCAGTTGAGCGACCGATCTTGCTTTCGGCTCAGGTTGTGATCTCAGGTCATGAGATCCAGCCCCATGTCAAGCTCCGTACTCAACAGAGTCTGCTTGAGATTCTCTCTCTCCCTCTCCCTCTGCCCCTCTTGCTCATGTGCACACACTCTCTCTCTCAAATAAAAAAAAAAAATTAAGGGGAAAGAAGAGGGAAGACCCTCATCGGTTCTGAGTATTATCTCATGGTGGGGGTTGACCTTTGACTTTTGCTCAAGATACAAATCATATCATGTCACTCTGCTATTTAAAACCCTTTGGTGATAGTACGAGCAATAATAATAATAATACCAAAAGGCACTTTATTGAGCTATTAGTATGTGCCACGTACTATTACTTACCTGCATTATCTTCCGAGGCATCTCATCCAAATTCTCCTTGAGTATTTGCTATTATAATCTCCATTTGAAAGATGAAGAAACTGAGGTCTAGGAAGTTTAAGGAACCTGCCCACAGTACGTAATTTCAGAAGTGGGATTCAAACTCAGGCCATCTGTCTCCAGCATAAGTCTCTTGGAGGCCTCCTTCAACAGTTGGCTCCCAGCTACAGGGGAGCCTGTGCCTACAGGGTCACATCTGTAGTCCTTAACAGGTACCCAGGCCCCTGTATGACCTGGTCTCTGATTCCCATGCTGATTTCATCTCCTATCATGACCCTTGGCACAGATGTCAAGGGAAGATCATTGCAGTCCTTGAAAATAGAGTTTAGTATGCTTGTGTCTCTGCAAAGAGTGTTTCTCTCAGCCTCAAATGCCCTTCCATCCATAAACCACTTAACAAATGCACCTTCTAAACTTCAGCTTCAATATAAGTTCTGTGTTCAGTAAAATTCAGTTCAATGCACATTAATTAAGCGTGTACTTAGTTCCAAACTCCAAGCAAGATATTGGAGATTTCCTCTAAAAAAGACTTCCTGCCTTCAAGAGACCATCAGTCTACTGATGGCAGGTAGTTTAAGATGTGACCTTCCTTTTATCTTTTTTAAAGATTTATTATTTATTTGAGAGAGAGAGAGCAAGAACAGGGGGCAAGGAGAGAGAGAGAGAGAATCCCAAGCAGAGTCCCTGTTGAGCAGAGAGCTTGACTCAGGGCTGGATCCCATAACCCCTGAGATCATGACCTGAGCCGAAATCAAGAGTTAGGCACCCAACCGACTGAGCCAGCCCGGCACCCCAGGAGATGAGCATTCTGATAGGTGAGGCACAGACTGCAGGGAGCACATGGTAGGAGGTTAAGGTTGACATTTCTGGGAATCAGGAGAGGAGCATGGACCAGAAAAGTGACCACCATGCATAGTCCATCTTTTGCTTGTAGCTTTGCCATGTCTGTGTTTGTGGCCCTGTCTGCTGCTAACGATAAGTCATTCTTGTGAGTAAAATACATATTAGAAAGTTTAATATTAAGTTTAAATATTAGTAAGTTTATTTGTATAGTATGTTTTATATAAATCTTTGAGCAGTGTTCCAAGAAATAACAAATTTTGGGGGAAAAAATGGATCCTAGAATTAACAATTTGGACACAAGTTACAGTGTAGGGGCATCTGGGTGGCTCAGTCAGTTAAGCATCTGACTCTTGGTCTCAGCTCAGGTCATGATCTCAGGTTCATGAGATCGAGCCCTGTGTTGGGCTCCCCGTTGAGAAGGGAGTCTGTTTCTTTCCCTCCTCTTCTGCCCCTCCTCCTGTTCAAGTTCTCTCTCTCTCTCTCCTTCTCTCAAATAAATAAATCTTAAAAAAAAAAAAAGACACAGTGTAGTGCTATTAGCAGTGTTAGAAGGGGCCAATGTTAATTATTCAAGTATCAGCCAATAACATTGATTGGTAGTTCTCCCCCAGTGTTTGAATATTGACTAGAAGTGATGGTTCTTATTAATGCCACCAAACTTCATTTTTCCTATTTGTTAAACAATTTTAGATAACCATAATAATCAATAAAGAGTACATAATCTTGGAAGTATTTTAAGAATAGCTTAAGATATCAGGAATCTCTGAGATTTCCCAAGAATTCCTGATTTCTGGAATTTGGAAACAGGAGTGGGGACC